CCAAACTTCAACGTAAGAAGACATGACTAATAAACCTCCCTGGTAGTGGTTAGATTAGCAACTGATTACACGTTGTGTAAAATAATAGTTTTGGACTCCCAGGAGGAATTTATCAAAGGACAAGGGTACATGTCATATGTAACATTTATGGAGCTTAGGTAAAGTGGAAACTGCTTCTCAGTAGGAAAAAGTCTGCTTCTTAGTGAAGCATTCAGACTCGAGCACTGAAGAAGAAAATAACTTCACTGGAGATGAAGTATGTCTCTCTTGGGGTTCCTCAATCATGAGCAGAACAGGCTCTTCACAGATGAGAAATCAATGAGGCATTTGTAATTAATCAGACAGGTCCAATCCTGGAAATACTTCTCCCTTTGTCTAAGGCCAACCCACATCACTCTCTGAATGAAGATTCTTAAAGCATCTAGTTATCTGCTACACTAGCAAAATGCTAAGATTAATTAAATGCCCTGAGGAGGGGTTCTTTCTGTCTTTGTTATCTATTTAACAAGGTAAAGAATTAATTCTTAGTGTAGACTGGAAGTGTTAAGACAATACCAAAAGTTATGCTAATGCCCAGGACAGAAAAATCAGCTAATAGTTGCAGCTAATTTCATTTTTAAAGGGCTGAAGATCAAATATTAAGCAAGATTTCTGATACAAAGACCAAAGGCAGACAGATTGCAAACATAGTAAGCCTTTTCTCCAAGTTCAACATACATGAAACAGAGGAAGACGTCCCTGCTCCAGCGATCATTACAACACTAAACAAAAACACCTACAGACGAAATACTGTTCAACCATATTTCTATATCTGAGATCAGTAGTAAACCCTATCTCAATTTGGTTTTCTTCCTTTGGAAGTTAAAAGTAGAGATGTAGCTTCACAATACACAAAAAATTGTTGCAGAGTTGTTTTGGTAACACAAACATTCACTAATAGAGCTCTCATCTTTTCTTAGACAATCACCTGGTCAGTCATCACATTAAAGAATTTTAGAACCACATGTTCTAAAAAATAAATTACATACAGTCAAAGACACAAAAAAGAATTAGTATGCAGGACAAGAAACAGCTAAAGAGCAGTCTCTTACACTTTGCAGTAAACCTCAGACAAAAGTTTATACACCACAGTCAATCTTTACAGACTATTTTACATACATAGATAAATCTATAACTTACAATTAGAGATTATATGAAGAATATATTCGATTTTCAGTTACAACTGTCCTACATAGCTGATTTCAGTAGGGTCACAACAGCATGTGCAATTCTTCTCTTGGTCAGTTGCCTGGCTGGTTGGTTTGTGTTTTGGTTTGGTTTTTTTTCCCCAATCTCAATTCACACTAATCTCACACGTCTTTACTCAATTAGTAAAAATTGAGGCACTATTGGAAATTACATCCTTGAACAGAAGGAAAAAACAGTTTTAAGTCACAAGCTGATAGGTGATATGCCTGCCTGTAATGGCATGGGACTAGACCCAGTGATCCAGGAATACAGGCTTGGAGGGGACCTCTTCGGAAACATTTCTAGGTGCAGACAACACACCAGTAAGCCCAAATCTGTCACCTAAAGTCTGTGCATCCACCTGTCCTTTGATGAGCTTTGCTTTGCCCAACACAAAGGTAAACATTCAAGTTTCATCAACAACTGCCTCCAAAAGAGGCTGAAGGCGCAACGCTGTTACACTTCAGTGTATTACTAAGCTCCGGCCTGTTGATGCTCCACTCTTTCTGGTGACCATTTCCAAAAATGTACTGGAAAGTTCCGTTTAGAAAAAAAAAATATATTTTTTGCCCCCACAGCCAGTAAATGCAGAAAATCACGCTGTTGGAGCTATACTGCTGCCAACATGTGAGAAAATGAGATGTGAAAGGGACACCCAGAGTTACTGGAGAGCTATCACAGGACCACTAACCACATCTGTTACTGAGATCAAGATTCCCAACAGGTTCCAATAAGAAGCAGATTTTTGTTTCTGAGACAGCACTTGGTTTCAATTACAACCACCTCATCTTCTGTTAACATTCTTCTGAGATGAGACCTTGTACCTGATAGCATCCATCTTCAGCCCAGGGCTATGATGGACTTTGCTAGCGCTAAGTGCCTGTGTTCCAAATCGAGCATATTCCAGGAAATTAATCTCTCTGCAGGTTTCCTTCTGTTCAGCACCATATTCTTCAAAAAAAGATCTCTGGGAAGAAAGAAATTAATTTCCTGCTTCCCTAAATATCATTACCACCATGATACTAAGAAAACATGCAATAACACATCTCGATAACTGAAGTTGTAAAAGTTGCATTCATATACAAAACAGAAAAAAAATGACAGAGGATGGCAAAACAGAAGCACTGTAGAGAAAAGCATCCTCTAGAAGCTTATTTTGGTGTTCCAGGTTGGGTTCTGCCCAACTTTCACCAGACCTTGACAGCTCTGCATAGCAGCAGTGTCCAGATCAGCATACCGACTGCAGTGACAATGGACGATTCCACTCCTGCCATAGCCTACCGTATGTTTCTAAGGGTGGGAACAGAAAACAAGCCATTCCAAAAATATCTGGGCAGCCTCACACAACGTACGAGATCACAAGACACTCATTCAAAGATGAACTGAAGCAGGAACTAGCACATTTGCTCTGCACCAATAGTAGAGACCTGACCTCAGAAGGATCTTTCAGCCCTGCAAGTTGTCCTAACAGTCTACATAAGAACTACTGCTCGCACTCATTTCAACAGTTGTATCTAAGCATTCACCATCTTCTGCTACACAACTGCATTGGTCTGTGAAACAGCCCTTTTCCTCTCCCTCTCCTGCTCCTATGTCTGTCTCCTGACAAGGTGGTAGGATGGCTTTCTCATGACTCCAAAGCCTCCATTTTCCATTTTCCCACTCTGTTATTAAGCTGGCTGAAGTAGATTTATCTTCATGTGATCTCAAAGAATCACAGAATCACAGAATGTTAGAGATTGGAAGGGACCTCGAAAGATCATCTAGTCCAATCCCCCTGCCGGAGCAGGACACCTAGATCAGATCACACAGGAACGCATCCAAGCGGGCTTTGAATGTCTCCAGAGAAGGAGACTCCACACCCTCTCTGGGCAGCCTGTTCCAGTGCTCTGTCACCCTCACCGTGAAGAAGTTTTTCCTCATATTCAAGTGGAACCTCCTAACAGTTCTATCTACCTGAGAAGGTCCCTTTACATCTAGGAGAAAATCCTTAGGTTGAGAAGGGTCCCATGAACAACAAAGCCCACCTGGGTTAACACACTGCTTATGGAAGCATGCAGAGGCACTTGGGATAGCAGTTAGGAGGTGACTCTTTTTGTTGGTCTGAAGTTGCTTTCTGGGATGATGCCTCATGCAAGCAAGAGCAGAAATTTTGGTGGAACAATTTCGTAGCACAGAAGAATACCAGCTTATCATCTTCTCTTTTCATACAAGAGGAACCCTTTACCCCTGGACTCTGCTTTTCCAGCAATAATGGAAAATAAATCTCCTCCAGAGGCATCCACAAGCCTTCTAACCACAGTTTCAAAGCACTTGGAGGACAGATTTTTTTTTTTTCCACGCAAGAACAAACTGCATTTTTTTTTCTTTCCCCTTTTATTTTTTTTTTTTAAGTATATTTTACTATCAAGTTTGGACAATTGGTCTTTCTCACAACAGAAAGAATAATTCCTTGAGAATGCTTCTCTGTGGAAGAAGGGAGGATGAAAGAGAAAGACTCACAGTACACTGCACAGGAATCAGTACTGATAAGACAGGAATTGTCTGGCCTCTCTGTACTGATTTAGTATACTGCACTTTGTGGGGCTAAGCAGAGAAACTAGGTCTGGATGGGTGGGAGCAGAAAAAAGCTGGCGGATTTTACTGGTAGTTTCCCCTTTGTCACTTCAATAACCCTTGTTTCACTGATAGGAATGAAACTGGGCTCAGAGTTCTATAAAATATTGAAATTGGGTAGCAATTTCTCTGTCCTGTAAGACTGTGGATGTATCTGTTCCTAAGTCCACTCTGCCTCACCTTCTACCTTTCTCAAGGAACATACTGGCTTAGGGTTTAGAAGTCCAAGGGAACTCAGATAAATTACTCTTCCTAAGGGAAAAGACAGTTTATTTCCCACTCCTTGCTGTGGAGTCTAGAGGCAAGACAGACTGCATCCCACCCACAGCTAACCAAAAGCAACACCTGTCATGGGACAGAAACACTTCTTGTCACTGACTTCACCTGAAACTGGAAGGAGTAGTTGCTGCAGACACCTGAAACTGTCCATATTTAACTTGATTGCCACCCTCCTGTGCACCTCTCTCCCCCCATGTCAAACGCATTCCTGAAAGTCAGACACATTAATGAAAACAACTTTATAATCAGAGAAATTTCAGACTTAGTTGGAGCATTTAACCTAATGAAAGTAATTTCAAAGTCTGGCTAAGTCACCAGCCACTGAAGAGGCAGAGAAAAAAAAATTCTCCAACAAGAGAGTGTTTTCTTGCTACTTGTGGCAGGCAGATACAATCCCGAACCTCAAATGCAAGCAAGCAGAAGTATTCATTGTAGTAAAATCATACTCACTTATTTTAAAAGAGAAATACTATGCAAATGGAAGAAAGAAACCAGAATGCAACAGAACCACCAAATCTTACTTTCTTCATTTATGTGAAGTGTTGAAATTCCATGACAGGCTCTGTTCTAGGCTACATGCAAAGAGTAACTACTGTAAATGAAGAACAACTCTTCTGAAATTAGTAGAATATTGTCAATCTAAGAAAAATAAAGTTGACTGATATTAAGGGACACTCTGTTCAGCTGAGGCAATCTGGCTCATAAGTCATAAACAGAAGCTTAAAAATCCTCTGAAGTCTGACAGTTAAAATAAAAAGTTATTTAAAAAAAAAAAACCTGCCTAAGTTTCCAAGTGTGATTATTTGAAAACACTTCAAGGCACAATGTTTTATCAATCTAACATTCCGGACCTCTTTGAAAGCAAAGAAAACACTTACTGTGGTTGCATCTGCTGAGGTAACCCAACAGGAGGCTTCTGCTTGATGGTGAATGCCATCTGGGTCATTGGGCCAACCTTCGGCGGGACCTGCGCCTTCTGAGAGAAGGTCTGCTGGGCAGCCTGCTGGGGTATGGGCCACGGGGGAACAACGGGGCTCCGGCCTCCAGTGGAAGATGATGTGTCTTGCATGACTGTATCCTCACAGGAATTACCCTTTGTTCCTGGTTTACACACACAAAGCTGAGGTCGCAGGCACATCCCTCCATTTTGGCATGGTGGTACACAGTTAGCTAAGAAAAGACATTTTAAAAAGTACCCGTGAAATAGAGCACGAAGGAAAATGCAAACCCTCCCCACAATAAAAAAAAGGACACTAATTGCCAATGTTAACTGGAGTAGGAGAGAGCACCATTGCTAAGCTCCACAAGTTGGTACAGCTTTTACTGCTTCCCTGTATAAGACACACACAACATTTGAACAACTTCGAAAGTTAAATCAAGAAATACAGCATTACTCCAAATCTTCCTGTTAACAGCCTTTTATACTCTCCTTCCCTGCATGCTCCTTCCCCATACCTTAACAACCAGTCTGCACCCAGGGAAACAATATCATGCAGATTAAAGAGTTTCACTGCTGTTCCAGGCTTGGATTCGTTCTGTTACTATTTAAAAACACAGATCTTCCACAGGTACCCAGGAGGAATCCTTACAGTCATGCTATAGAGGACCAAAACGATGCAGAGGGGCATGAAATGATTCAACCCTTCCCCCTCTAAAGCACAAATGAAATCCCCTCCAAAATCACCACCATAACAACATAAAAAGGAGATGCATCAACTGCTGCTACAAAGACATAGCTACACCTGGAGGCTGCATTCTTTGAAGAAACAGACAGGTGCTTGTGCTTACCCTGAACGAGCTTCTATACACTCTTTGTACCACCAGTGAAAAGGGACCAGATTCTTCAAAGGACAAGTCACTTTCAGACAGGATTAAAAACTCTGTGTTGCTCTATCCACTGACTATAGAGGTAGTGGAATAATCAGCCTAGACTCAGCAGCCAGCTCGTACACCCAGCTAACACAGCATCAATTCCATTCTGAATGAGCAAGAAACTCTGAGAAGCAGCAAATCCCACCAAAAAAAAAAGAAAAAAAAAAAAAAAGAAAAAAAAGTTGCTGATCATATGTATACATAACACCACAAAGGTACACCTAATGTGAGGGTGTTTAAACTTACAATGCTATTGTATTTAGAGAATGTTAAAATAACACAAAGATGGCTAAACAAATTAATTCTCTTACCCAGACGATACAATTTAGCAGTAAAATACAATTCTAACTAAAATAGCTATCAAAATAATTTCTTCATAAATCCCATTAGGGATAGCATACAACAAAGCATTTACAAGAAGAATCCCTGCTGAGCTACTTTGCTCCTTCAAACTAAGAATACTTTTAATATTGTTAAAGATCTTTTAACATAGACAAAATTATCTGTCAGACCACAAAGTTTGGTTTCACTAAAACACATAGGATCATCTCTTGAACCATAACATGCGATTCTGCACCATATTCAGTTACATCCAACCACAAAAGTTTTTTTTTTTTTTTTTAAAAGTCCCTCCAAAGCCCTGGTCTGAAGAAATTGGAGTACTTGGCACTTCAAGTTTTAATTCATACATCTATAGATAAAAATAAATGCACAAATATACAAACGAAACAACTATTAGGACAGGACTGTGTTAATTTGGAGGACTAATCTGTCAATTGATAATACATCTGGTACAGATGTATCACGTACATCACCCGGACACACCACCAGAACTGCCCTGCAACTTCAACTTGAGCTTTGCATGGGCTTCTTCTCACACATACCTTCCCCCTTCCACGTGTTGTTCAGCAACACATCTCCTTTTCAATGTTACTTAGCTGAGCTAGCTTAATTGTATATTTTGCATCTCCCTGGCAACAAAAAATTCATCATTTGCTTACTTATCTTTGTTTATTTTTGAGACTATATTTTGTCTTTGACTGCTGGAAGACTGAAGACCATTTACAACAAGCATATGTTGCGCTATACAAGCCAACTCCTTCTTGCGCCTTGCTTTAAAAGACCTATATTTTGCTACGAACAGTAAAAATTCACTTATGTGCACGTCCGAAACTAATTATATCTTTGGATAATAGATTAAGAAGCCTTAAATTCTAATTGAGTAAAGTTTCATTGGCTTTGGAGAGACTCTAAGATGAGAACGGTGACCCCATCATCCGGGTCATCCACAGAAAATGTGCAAAGATCACAGTGAAATACTTTGGACACAGCTGGGAGTATTTCAGAAAAATATCACATAAAACTTTCTGAAAAAAAAAATCAGATTTTCAAAAGTTCCACCTTTACAACATTAAAAAAAAAAAATTCGCACTGAACGTATTTCTGGAGATTTATGGACATGCATCTATATTAACCTTCAGGCTTCTCAACCAGTTATTTAAAAAACGAAAATCAAAGCACAAAAGTAAGCTAACAAGCCCACCCCAAAAGTCAATACAACAAAATATCCACTCTGCTAGAACACTGATCATTGTGCATCTAACTCTCAAAAGTGAACCAATTTATACACGCACAAAAGACAACCCTGAGAAAACCGCAACTCTTTTTTTTCACCTAGTTAAGAACCAAAGCTGTGCTTCAGAAGCCCAAGAAAACTTCAGTTTCCACTTATCAAAGCGAACATAATAAAGTGGCAAAGAATTTAAAACTATGAAGCTGAAAATAGAACCTGTTTTGAAATGATCTCATCTTTCTTTACCCAAACAGACTTGAAGATTCTTACTTCACTGACAGCAGTGCAAACCCTGAAAGTTTCTCAGCTTTACATGTACACAAAGCATACGAAGCTCTGCAGGACCAACTGCAGTACTCTAGCTGGCTTTATAACAAAAGAAGTGTCAGCAGATCCAGTTATAAAAGACCCAGTTTGTCTTAAATCACGTGAACAGTGACAACTGAGGATTCAGTTTTTAACAACAGGTCTTCACAGCAATGCATCCTTTGATTGAAGTTCTTCATTAATGTTGTGTAACGGAAAAATCACAAAATAGGATACCAGATTGTATTTTCAGGAAAGAATTAAAATGAATATTTTGACATAATACAGCAGTTTAGTTTTAAAAATGTTCAAGACAGCTGCAGTGTGCCAAATGTATGACCTAATTATTTCGTTTGGAGACAACAATAATGGCACATCGAAGTGAAAATACCATTATTTTCCATAAAGATAAGCTTCCAAAAAGCAGAAAACGGAAGTATTAAGTTGAAAACTGAAAAGCAGGCCAACATACTCCTGTTAAAGGCAATAGGCTTGGTCCTACTCAATTCAAGGAGGTCACGACAGGAAATTCAAAGAGGCGCTTGGCAAAAATACCAAAAACAAGACCAGGCTCAGTGGATCAGATCAAAGATCCAGGTAGTCCCGTCTCCTCTCTCCATGACTCAAGCGGATGCCTAAGGACAGGCGTAAGGCCAGGGTGAGAAGCAATGAAGTTCGTAGCACTACAGCCTTCAAGAATTAGAGGCTCAGCAACTTCCTGAGCAAGAGTGCTGGTTTTGTTTTTCATAACCCTCAGCAGATTTTTCTGTCAGGAGTTCACTGATCTGCTTTTTGAACCTGTTAGTTTCAGCATCCCAAACCTGCTGTGCCAAGGATGTTGGCCATGTTGGAAGGCCAGGCACAGGCAACAGAACCAACCTCCTCCTGCTTTCCAGAAGCGTGACGAAGAAACACAGGGTTCTTTTGGGTTGCTTGGTGTGTTTGAAGACCACGCAATCTGTATCTACTAAAAATAAAGCCATAGTGCGGCATTTGCTTTGGAAGTCCCTAAATCACAAAAAGCTGAAAGCATTTTCTGTGACTGTAACCCAACACGCTCACCCTTTTAATGCTCCTTTCCCTAACTAGTGCTCGTCACTGTCGCAGACAGAACACTGAGTTAGAGAGACGCTTATCAGGACGCATATGGCTGTAGTTATAACATGCTTTCAGAAGAGAAAGTATAAAATAAAACATGACCATTAGGCTTAAACACACCCCTTCCGACACAACTGTATGTGGGTTTGGGACTGATCTATACACAAACACTTTTCAGTCCATGCGTTCATGTTATTTTGGTTAAAGAGTAAACAAATATTTGCAGAAGCAAGACCTAAAATGTAAGGTCTATAACTTTCAAAATAGGTAAATATTGTAAAGCTTCTACATATACGCAATGCATTTCTGTTTTCATACATACTAAATTAAGCACAATTTATTATATTAAATCCGTAAGCATAAAATATTACAATATATTGAAGTTCAGAAAAAAATTGTTTTTTCAGATCTTTTGAAAGAATCAAAATACAGGTCTAACTAACTCTACTTATCATGAAAAAACTTTGATATTAAATTGCTGATAAATCTTGAATTAAGATCATTAAGATCTCATTCCCATGCTAATCACTTGGATTTTACCTTGATTCACAATTACCTTCTTCAGACAGTAACACCTCATTAACAAGTTTATTTCCTGGTGTCTCTAGGTCATGTGGAGAATTGAAATCCACAAAAAGGTACTTTTCAGTGAGAAACTCACAATAAACAATTTAAATGTCCCAAAAGTTCCTAACCTTTCAGCCTCAGCTCCACCTTTAAGCATCTCATCTATCAAGCAACTGCTGTTGGTTAGTACTTAAATGACCACATAAATTTTTCAAAGTCATTCTTGAACTTCCAATACTTTTATACAACGATTACATGACAACAAAGTGTTGCAAGTTTTGTGTTATTTCTGGTAAACCCATCCATTAGATTCTTCCCTTCTGCTTCCACATTCAATTGAATGTACTTTTTTTTTTTTCCTCTCAACCACACATAGTCAAGCATCAGTTCCAGCAGAACGCACTGACTTCTAACAAATTCCATCCCTGCACACGTTGGCACAGTGCGTAAATCCCGTCAGGTAGAATACATGCTTGAGGACAAATAATAGAAAATAGAGCAATCGCAAGGAGGATTAGAAGTGTGGGACTTTTTCAGATTCCAGCACAAAATGGTCGAGAAATGACGCTGCATCAAGTTTACAGAAATGGGAAACACCTGACACAGTGACATGACTACATCTGTGCTAGAGCAGAAATTTCAAGTTCCTTTACATGCAACACAGGAACACTGTCTTTCTGATTTCATTAATTCAAGATTGCTATTCCTCAAGCACACAGGAC